GAACCAGAGACGTTCGTGTCTAGGACCTAGCCGATCTTGCATAAAGAGTAATTTCTTGTCTTCTTCTTCGACCCTTTTTCTCTTTGCTGGAATTATGGCTTGTGACTTAGAATCATCATCGTCGTAACCTATTCTGCTTGCCATGCGCGTACTGCCTTGGGAAAAGACGTCTACAAGCTGTAACATTGAAACAGATCAGCATCTATTCGTTGTGGGTAACGAAAGTGCATAAAATGCGCACCCGTTCCGCTTGAGGGTTATGTCCTTATGATACCGTCTGCGCCGTTCGGTATCTGCTGCCGAACTGGGGAGGTGAAGTTCGCAATGGGGTGGGGGGAGCGTTGTAGGTTTCGGCAGACTGAGAGAAACAGGAGTCAGAGTATCTTCCCTGCGATAGGGTGATAGATACCTGGGGAGATAAGTCTCCTACGACGTCGTGGGCGTTGAAAGAGAGTGAGAGCATTCGCCAGACTTTGCATCTCCGACGAACGCCACAAAGATGTGATCAGGCGCCCGTTATCAGTTTGTGCAGGCGCTCGCTGAAAGCGCTGAACTCTCACCTTTATATTCCGGATTGTGATAATGGATGTCCTCATAACAGAGAGCTGTTTGTACTTAGCGACAAAATACTTTTTGTACAATATAATTGTCCAAGGGATGAACAGCACTCGTACGCTCGAACTTGAAGTGTCGGGTGACAGGCTCTTTGGGCGTGCCGCAGCAGGCATAGAAAGCGTCCTGCAACAACATCAACGGTCCCCGGCCGCTTGCTGTTGAGTGCTTCTTGTGATTACCACTCTCTGGATGATACTTTTTTGTCTGTGTTGCAATAGACTATCGGCACATCTTTACCCACGCCACTTCCAAGAAACATCCGACAGAAGCTAGCACCTCTAGTTTCTGAATAGATTACATATGTATCAACTGTAACAGTAAATTCCGACTCTTAGATACGATCCTTATTATTTTAAAAACATTTCTTCGTATCTATTGATTTATTGTCGTCTGAATTTAACGAGTCGTCCTCGCAGTCAGACTACATCTATCTCCATGTCCTCGAGGGGCATGTCTGGAGTATCAAGGGTGTTATTGGACAAAAATAAATTCTCACTTTTACACCGGCCGCAAATTTTTGTTTTCGATGTGCGTCTAAGGTTATGCGTGCGTATTCGTACACTTTTGTGCGTATTTGTGCACTTTTGTGCGTATTCGTGCACGATGATGCGCGTTTGGTCACTAACGTGCGCTAACGTGCACGAAAGCTCACGTTTGTGCACCTTCGTGCACTTTCGCGCACGAAAGTGTGCATTTGACGAACTACATATTCATGTTATCACAAATTCATTTTCGCTAGACGTTTACTTTCGCGCACCTTCGTGCACCTTCGCACACTTTCGTGCACTCGAAGATTCAAATGAGATGCATAATCACAAAAATGAAAACCAATTGTCAGCTTACATGAAACTGAATAATAAGTTGAGTGCACGAACGCGCACGAACGCGCATGAACATGCACGAACACACACACATTAGCGCCATCGCCAATCTCAAATCAGGGCGTAACCAAAACCAAAGCTCAGCGGCATGCACGATCGTGTGCGTTCGTGCGCTTTCGTGCGCGATCGTGTACGTTCGTCTACTTTTGTGCACGATCATGTACGTTCGCCCACTTTCGTGAGCTTTCGTGCACGTTCGTGCGCGTTCGTTCACATTTGCGCACCCTTGTCCGCCAAACTGTGAGTACAGTCTGCACCAATTCCAAACTCATTTTTTTTGTCCAATAGCAACCTTCATACTGGAGGTCAAGGAGCGACACCGAAAATATCCCCCAGCTTCTCAGGTGCCTCCTGCAGACGCGCATAGGCAGCATCCTTGAGTGCATAGTTACAGGAATTGCACATGCTTTAAGATTCTGGTTCGTCTTCTTCTACGCTCTCTTTGTCAATCCAGTAGTCCAGCAGGTCTAGCGGCGCGGGTATGGCGAAACAGTCAAACGAGATGCCGCCCAGGAGCATCTTCAGTATCGCCTCGTGACATGCCGTCAGGGTCGAGCAGGGCTCGCTCCTCGGAAATGACAGCGGGTAAGCATGCACATCGCGATGAGCCACATGACCCGCGTGCTTGCTTCACAGAGCTGTTTGATGGCAATGGCGCAGAGGCGCAGCTCGTCTGGCGTGAGTTGCACTCTCTCGCCTCCGCACTGCGCTCCGTCGAAAGGGAGCGCTGGATCTAGTCTGCAGCAGTGATACGCTGTCGTCACCCAAACATATTGGAGATTAAGTCGTCCAGACGGGTCGACGACTGCGATGCAGTCGGCCTCGGAGCATTGAACGGGATTTCCATAAAATGCTCGCAGATAGGAGCTGATGTCTACCCATGTCAGAGGATAATCGAGATTTGCGGGGAAGACGGCACGGAGTCGTGCAGAGACTTCCTCGGGAATTCCTGGAACATTGTACTTGAGCGAGAGCAAGGCGATGGGACGCGGATTAGCGAACGAGATACAGATACGACGATCAATAAATAACCTATGACAATGTCAGCTATCACTTGATAAGCATATAGGCGCATGATGTACCTATCTAGGCCGTATAGAATGAGTAGCAGCTCTGCAAAATCGAATTCACGATCGGTAGTATGTAAGAATATAAAATCAGGTAGCAACTCGAGGAAGCTTGAGACTGCTTCGTATTGTTGACGGCTGAGGTGGATGACAATGGCTGAATGTAACTCGAGCACGGAACTATGAATTTTGAATAGAAACTCATTGATAAGTATAACCACATTGCCGTCGTCGAACCAGAGTCTCTCGTGTCGCGGAGGCGATGGGGCGACAGCAGGAAGGGCGTCTATCGCGTCGAGCTTCCTCTTATTCCTCGCATGTAGGGATTCCGTGTCTTGAATGCCCTCAACATGATGCGAATATCTGGAGAATGAACGAGCGATATGGTGACAGGAGATTCTGGGACGGCGCTCTAAGCGACTCACCCTTTCCT